AGGCTCCAGTGATGGGGACTCAGCACCTTCCAAACCCATGACCACTTCCATCTAGAAGGACAAGGGCAGCAGATACATGGGAACACCATCCCCTGCAAGTTCCACTCCGAGCCACTCACTATCCTGACTTAGAAATATATCACCATTCCTTCAGTGTTGCTGGGTTAAAATCCTGGAATTCCCTCCCTAATGGCATTGTGGGTCAACCTACAGTTCATGGAATGCAGCGATTCAAGAAGGCAGCTCACCACCACCTCCTCAAGGGCAACTGGGACGGGTGGTAAATATTGGACTTGTGTGAAGGAGCTTTGGTGAACTTCTGCAGGGCATTTTGTAGACGATATCGCTGCATCTATTGAACATTGGTGGTGCAGGGAGTGGATGTTTGTGGATGTGGTACCAATCAAGTGGGCTGCTTTGTCCTGGATGGTGTCAAGCTTCTTAAATGTTGTTGGAGCTGCACCCGTCCAGGCAAGTGGGGAGTATTCCATCACACTCCTGACTTGGGCCTTGTAGGTGGTGGGTAGGCTTTGGGGAGTCACGTGTTCCCAGCATCTTATTTTATGTGGCTGGTCCAGTTTAGTTTCTGGTCAATAGCAACCCTGTGTGATTGGAACAAGGTCAGCCAGGTAGATCTCATAGACTATGAGTTCCCTGTTGGGGAACCTGGTCCAGTCAGGGAGACCTGGCTGACAGATATATAGAGGAGTGTCAGGGGTCTAGTCACTCTACGAGCCAGCTCTGAGCTATCTGGGTCAGTGTCATGCACCATGTGTAAATAAAGGGTGACTTGGTGATGGGATACCTACCTTTGTGGAGTTACTTCAGTGGCTACGAGAGTGGGAATGCAATTTTGGTTGAAGCCTAAGAAAGATGCTGAGACACTGTTTGGTATGTGGGATTAAAGATGAGACTATGCAAAAGCACCTACTAGCTGAAGTCCAACTGGACTTCAAACAGGCACCAGAACTGGTTTTGTCATTAGAAAATACAGCAAGCAGAGCTTATGAGTTACAGGGTATTCCAACAGAAGTGGGCACCCTCGCCAGACCGACTGAGTTTGGGGAACACCACTTGAGTGAAGGCAGTTGCATAGCCTTGCTCAGGACATATCTTGAACCGAGGAACTCTAGGTCAGCCAACAGCAAAACCCCAAATAAAGCCAAGCCTAGGCCAAATGGTTAAACTGCTCTCAAGACTCTGAGCCTGCAGGCCATGTTAGTTGCTGCTGATATGTGAACCCGAGACTGCAGAAGTGTCCCACTAGTCCTGAATTGAGTAATAAGCTAATATCCAGGAGAATGCACACCCTGGAAAGACCATCGACAGCTGATTTGGAACAGTTCAATTGCTTAGCAACATCCAAATCAGAACCAATCAAAAGAAACATCTGGTGAAATAGTCACCCAGTTCTATTGGAGGTTGATATCAGTGCTTGCAGAACCAGTCTGTGCTAAAATTCGCTCTGGACTCCAAGCCATAAATTTGCGTAAGTCCTCGGCCAGGCTGAAAACCTGTACCGGGAACCCTCTACAGATTATGGGCACAATTTTGGTTCTGGTCTCTTATGAGAAGCAGCTGGTTCAGTTACCACTGATTGTAGGAAAAGGCTCGGGCCCAAGCTTGATGGGCTGAATGTGGTTGAGAAAGATTCAACTTCACTGATGCAATATGTTTCAATTAGAAAATGGCTGCATGAGTGAAGTCCTAATTAAATACCTAGAGGTTTTTCAAGAAGATCTAGGGACTATCAAAGGGCCAAGGCCACCTTACATGTTGATCATGAAGCAATTCCACGATTCTGCAAGGCCCACCCAGTGCCATTTACCCTATGTACAAAAGAGAGGCAGAAATCAGGAGCCTGGAAAGTGAAGGAATCATCAAACTAGCACAGTTTGCAGAATGGGCAGCACTGGTAGTGCCAATTATGAAGCTCAAAGGGTTGTTTTACTTTTATGGGAATTTCAAACAAACAGTAAACCACTTTTCACGGCTGGATAAATACCTAATCCCTTGCAGAGGATTTATATGCAAAACTGATGGGGACGGGGAAGGGGGCTGTCCTTCACGAAGGTGACATGAGCCATGCGTATCCTCAATTGTGATTGATTTATTTATTGCTACATGTACTGGAATACAGTGAAAAGCTTTGTTTACGAGCAGTACAGGCAGATCCTAGTAAGCAAGGATGTACAGATCAAAGGTTGTAAAAACATTTAGACAGAGGCATATGGGTTACATTGCACGTGCTAGGCGAGATCAAAGTTAGCAACATCAGCATTATTTGAGGCTAGAGAGTCCGTTCATCCATGCAAGACTGCCATTTGGAGTATCATCAGCCTGTGTCATTTTTTAGCGGACTATGGAGAACATTTTACAAGGTCTGCCCCAGGACGCCATTTATCTGGGTGACGCGGCAATAACAGAGCAGGCTAATAAAGGGCACTCAGAGACAAAAACAGAAGTTGCTGGAAAAGCTCAGCGGGTCTGGCAGCATCTGTGAAGAAAAAATCAGAGTTAACATTTTGTATCCGGTGACCCTTCCTCAGAACACACTGAACCCAAAACGTTAACTCTGATTTTTCTTCACAGATGCTGCCAAACCTGCTGACCTTTTCTAGCAACTTCTGTTTTTGTTCCTGATTTGCAGTATCTGCAGTTCTTTTGGTTTTTAAAAAGGGCACGTAGAGAACTTAGAGATAGTCCTTAGATGTTTCTCCAAGGTGGGTACAGAGTCAACAGGCCAGGTTACACCCATTGGAAGATTAAGTGAGGATGATCAAAGGTGCCTTGGCTCCCAAGTCTGTACTAGAGCTTAGGTATCTCATCAGGTTGGTGAATTATTATGGAAAATTCATGGGTAATCTAACCTTCATCCTGGCACCCTCACATTTGCTATTAAAAAAGAATCAGCCTTGGAAATGGCCTCATAGCCAAGATGTAGCCTTTAGGGAAGTGAAGAAGCAGCTATCGTTGTATAAGGTGTTGGCCCACTACGATCCAAAGTGAGAGGTGGTGCTGACATGCGATGCCTCCCCGTACAGTATTGGGGTAGAGTTGGCTCACCGGTGGCCCAGCAGCGTGAAACGCCCAATAGTGTATTCTTCCTGGGCTTTGGCTGATGCTGAACGAAGATATGAAGGAAGGTTTGGTGGTCATCTTTGGTGTCAGAAAGTTCTAACAATACCTTTATGGATGTAAATTTATAATAGTAATGGACCACAAACCCCTGCTCAGGCTACTTAAAGAGGACACAGCTATGCTGCCCATAGCTTCAGGTCGAATTTAGCGGTGAGCTCTTATTCTGAGTGCGTACAATTACAAGTTGGAACATCATCTGGGAGGCCAAGAGGCAAATGCGGATGCATTGAGCCACCTCCCACTGATGGATACTCTGCTGGCGATACTGCCAATGGAAGAGTCCATTCTGGTTTTAAACTTTCTGGACACCCTTCTGGTCACCATTGACAATATCAGACTGTGGAAACAGAAAGATCCTGTCCTCTCGAACTAAAACAGCTGGTGGTGATGGAGGAATCAAAAGGGCCATCACAACCACCAAGACCAGATCACCATAGAAGATAGCATATTACTCTGGGGAGTAAGAGTGATTGTCCCGAGCAAACATTGCCAGCAGCTACTAGCTGAACTCCTCAGGTCATCCAGGGGTTTCCAAGATGAAGATGCTAGCAAGAAGCTATGTCTGGTGGCCAGAACTGGATACCGTCATAGCTGATTGCCAACAAGGACAAAAATTATTGCCAGCAGCTTCCTCACATTTTTGGGAATGGCTGGGTAAACTTTAGACTCGGTCACATGTCGACTATGCTGGTCCTTTCATGGGCTCTATGTTTTCAGTCATTGTGGACACCCATTCAAAGAGGTTGGACGGACATAGAGTTCCTTCGTCAAACACAGGATGACAGTAGATAAGCTGCAAATATCTTTTGTGATACATGGCCTCCTGGAGCTGTTGGTCACAGACAATGGGTCATTATTTACCAGCATGGAATTTGAATATTTTGTAAAGTTGAATGGCATTCGGCATGTAAGTTCAGCTCCATACCATCCATTGTCCAATAGTCTGGCAGAAAGAGCAGTCCAAACTTTGAAGGCAGGATTAAATAAACAGCCTATAGCTTTGCTCAATTCCAAACTGCTCCATTCCTGTTTGATTATTGGACCACCCCTCATGCAACTACAGGGACAGCGCCAGCAGAGTTGCTAATGGGTTAGACCTGATCTTCCCAGACCTGGGGTGGAGAGGAGGATGAAACAGTATCAGGAACGCTGCTACTGGACACAAGACTCCTCTAAGCAAGAGAGACAGTTTACTTCAGGGATAAAGTTTAGTATCGAAACCATAGGAATGGCCCTGCATGGGTAAGAAGTATGGTCGACACGAGGTCAAGTTCTTTGAAGAGCCAAGTTTTGTAGGTGAGGCAGTCGTCAACAAGCACGTGGACCACATGAAGCCTGCAACCTTGCAAACTGCACAGGACCAACACATATCCAGTCCCTCAGAACATGCAGCAAGGCTGTCAAAACCCGCGCATTCTCCCCCTCTGCTTAGTGTCAAAGAAACCTCTGAGGACAAGATGGGCATGGCGGATATTGCAGCCTGGATGCTGTTACTACCTGAAGAAGAAGATGAATTTCGGCCGAGAAGCTCCAGGCACAGAAGGCAGGCCATGGTCCAGTACACGCCGCCAGTATCCCACGCTGAGTTGGAGGAACTGGACCTGGTGCACAAACGCCCCTGGAGAAGCTACAGAGGAAAGAACGGGCCTATGTCCCAGGGCTTAAAGGGGAGGGATGTTGTGATTGGAACAATGTCAGGCAGGTGGATGTCATATAATATGAATTCCTTGATTCGGGCTGTTAAACCGGTCCAATAAGGGAGTCCTGGCTGACAGATATAAACGAGAGTGTTCTGCTAACTCTAGAAGCCAGCTCTGAGGGAACTGGGTCAGTGTCATGTATGTGTAAATAAAGGGTGATTTGGGGAGGGGATACCGGCCTCTGTAGAGTTATTTCAAACCCAAATATTAATATCAAAGTGATGTTAGAGTACAAGAAGCTGAGCTTTAATGGGTAAGTTAGAGAATAAAGGACAGTTTCCTCATATTTGAATTCAGTTTGAATTAAGGAAAAAAAATCAATATCTGTATTTATGAGAAAACTGAGCGGAAATATGATATAAATGCTGAAATCCATGGGGGATCTGGACAGGGAGAAATTGTTCAAACTGGTGCAAGCATTGAGACTGGAGGACACTGATTTAAGGTATTGGTTGAAGAAGGAAGAACATAGGAAAACATTTTAATGGAGGAAGTGGTTAGCACCTGGAGTCCCTGCCTGGGAATATTTCGGTAGCAAGTTTATTCAAGGCTTTCAAGAGGGAGTTGGATAATTATCTGAACAGAAATAGTGTGCAGGGCTATTGGGAAAGAGCTGGTGTGTGGGATTGGCAATGTTTCTCTTGCAGAGAGCCAGCATAGACATCTAAGGCCAAATAGTCTCCCGCTGTGCTGCACCCATTCTATGAATTTTTCACTCCTGCACTCCTGACTTCCTAATTTGAATTATGAGCCTTATGATTTGAGAACTGTATCCTCTTTAATGTCTTCCTGCTTTGTCTTCCTCCTGTTCTGAAATATAATATGACAAATTTGTACTTATTTAACACCTCAAAGGTAGAGCTTTCTCAAGGATGTAATCGAATGAACAGGGTAGAGGTAAGATGCTACTCTACCAATCACAAGCTGTTCCTCTCCTGTGCTTGCTGCCAGTAGGTACACTCGGAAACCAATCAGCAATTTCCTCTGGTCCATCTGGATACAAGGATATAGGAATGAAGCTCTAGCTGTTGGGGTTGGAGGAAAAGGGAGGCTCCAACAGAATGGAGAAGGTGAGAGTGAAGGAGGCAGCAGGTTGGCAGAGTAGTGGGCTGGAAGTGGTGTAGGCAGAAGCAAGAGAAGTTCTAAATCTGTGCATGAGGTAATACTTAGCTCACCTTGAGCAGGTGAAATCACTGAAGTAATGAATTCTTTGAGATCTGTAGTTCAAAGATGCATATGTTCAGAAGGCGTTATATGTAAAATGTATTGGACACTATTGTAATGAACATTCTATTAATGGTTAAAATCTGAGACTGAGTTCTGAGACGCAGTAAAATAGATTGTAACTGCCCGAGTAAAATGTTGCAGCTTTTTGCATATGCTATGGACGTGCACTGGCCCTGACTTCCTCAGTCTGTGGTAGATTTGTTTTGTGATTGCTTTTTGTATGTAGAGTTACATCTTAGTTATTTTGAAACAAAAACATATTGATGCTAATTTATGCCTGTTTCGCCAATTTGATTCCTGCGGTGTCTAAGAAATTAACGCTTGCCTTATGTGATGTGTTTTTAAATGTAAAGAAGTGTTGATAATTATTGAAGAAATTGATGAATTCTAATTCTGCTCCTGGGAGGCTGAATCCCTAATATGTCAGTACATATAGAAGGAATTGCTGCGCAGGACTGCATGACATAATCAATCAGTTATTGAGAATTTGAAAAGAGCTCCTGGAAACCAAAAGGAAACTGGCAAAAATCAAAAGGTTGCCCTCATGAAAATATTAAGATGAGCCTACATAGACCCTGCCTTCCTGGTTTATGGGTCCATGTCCTGCTTGCCAGAAATGTATATAATGGAGCTGATTTCCTGTTGCTGATTACTGGCCTCTGGAATGTTTGTCTTTATTTGAATTTCTAGGTTGTTGCCCATGTTCCTGCCCCTGGATAAAGACCCAGTGCTACTGCGTCTCCGGTTCACAGTCTTGGCGGTTGCCACAGTGATGTGCCCGCTCTTTGGCTTCCTCTTCTGCATTGTTTGGTCAATTCTGTTTAACTTCGAGGAGACAACAGCGACACACTGCCAGGTGAGGCTCGATGGCTTGGGGCTGTAATTGGTGTATTTAATTAGAGTGGATTAAGATTGAAAATTTTTCATTTATGTTACTTGGAATTACACTATCAGTTACAGCACAGAAACAGACTGTTCGATTTATTTGCTCCATGCTGGTGTTGCTGCTCCCACCCTCCAGTGAAGCTCCTTTTCCTCTTCAGGGCAAGTCCCTTTCTTTTTAATTCAATCATGGATGAGGGCATCTCTGGCTGGCTAGCATTTGTTGTCCATCCCTAGTTACCTTTGAGAAGGTGGTGGTGAGCTGCCTTCTTCAACCGCTGCAGTCCATGTGCTGTAGGTAGACCCACAAAGAGAGGAATTCCGGGATTTTGAACCAGTGACGCTGAAGGAGCAGTGAAATATTTACAAATCAGGATGATGAGTGGTTTGGGAGGGGAACTTGCAACGTATGGTATTCCCATGTATCTCGCAGCCTGGTCCTTCTAGTAGAAGTGCTTGTGGGTTTGGAAGGTGTTATCTAAGGATCTTTGGTGAATTTCTGCAGTGCATCTAGTAGATAGTACACACTGCTGCTACTGAGTGTCGGTGGTGGTGGGAGTGGATGCTTGTAGATGTGGTGCCAATCAAGCGGCTGCTTTGTCCTGGATGGTGTCAAGCTTCTTGAGTGTTGTTGGAGCTGCACCCACCCAGGCAAGTGGGGAATATTCCATCACACTCCTGACTTGTGCCTTGTGGATGGTGGACAGGCTTTGGGGAGTCAGGAGGTGAGTTACTTGCTGCAGCATTCCTAGCCTCCGACCTGCTCTTATAGTCATTGTGTTTATATGGCTAGTCCAATTGTGTTTCTGGTCCTGGGTGTTGATAGTGGAGGATTCAGTGATGTTAACACTGTTGAATGGTTAGATTTGTCTCTTATTGGAGACAGTCATTGCCTGGCATTTGTGTGGTGCAAATGTTACTTGCCACTTGTCAGCCTAAGCCTAGATATTGTCCAGATCTTGTTGTTTGAACATGGACTGCTTCAGTATCTGAGGAGCTGTGAATGGTGCTGCACATTGTGCAATCATCAGCGAACATCCCCATTTCTGACCTTATGTTGGAGGGAAGGTCATTGATGAAGCAGCTGAAGATGTTTGGGCCGAGGACACTACCCTCAGGAACTCCTGTAGAGATGTCCTGGAGCTGAGATGATTGATGGCCAACAACCACGACTATCTTGCTACGTACCAGGTACAATGACTTCTGCCATCGGAGAGTTTGCCCTCGATTCCCATTGATTCCAGTTTTGCAAGGGCTCCTTGACGCCACACTCGGTTGAATGCAGCCTTGATGTCAAGGGCTATCACTCTCACCTCATATGATCATGGCTGATTGAACACTTAATCCTTTTACCCTCCCCATTGCCGTAAGTCTGTAAGCCACTGGCAATCAGAAAGCTATCAACCTATAATTTAAATACACACAAAGACACAGCCTCCACTGCCCTCCATAGCAGAGAATTCCAAAGATTCATAACCCTCCTGAGTAAAAAATAATTCTCCTATCTTGGTCCTAAATGGCATTCCTCTTATTTTTAAATTGTGCCCCCTGGTTAGGACTCCGCAGCAAGGGAAAACCTTTTATCTGCATCTACCCTGTCCATCCTTTAAGTATTTTGTAAGTTCCAGTTAGATCAATTCTCTGATTCTTCAAAGCTCTGGAGCATACAGGCCCAGTTTGCTCAATTTCCCTTCACAGGACAGTCCTGCCATTCTGGGAACAACTCTGTGAACCTTCATTGCATTCCCTCTTTGGCAGTAATATCTTTCCTGAGATTGTAAAGTTGCTATTGTATCGAGGACTGCACAGCTGCTCTCTCATTTTAGAGAGAGAGAGAGAGAGAGAGAGAGACAGCTGGAGCTGCTTTAACCTGAGGATCACTATGCCTCAGGGGAGAGCAGAGGTTGAGAAAGTGAGCTTAATGGTGACCTTGCAATTGAAGTTGGTTTTGGATCACAAACCAGCTGTCTATCCAACTGAGCTAACTGATCCCTTACTGAGTTAAGGAAACCAAAACTGTACACAGTTCTCCAGGTGTGGTCTAAACATCTTCCTGTACAATTGAAGCAATACTTTGCTACTCCTGTACTCAAATCCTCTTACGATAAATTCCATTAGCCTTCCATAGCTAATAGCTTTGCTGCAGCTGAATTTTATCTTTCAGTGACTTCTTGACAAGGACCTCTGGGGGAGGTGATGGCCTAGTGGTATTATCATTAGACCATTAATCCAGACACCTAGACAATGCTCTGGGGAGCCAGGTTCGAAACACAGCCACAGTAGATGGTAGAATTTGAATTCAGTAAAAGTCATGGAATCCCTAGAGTGTGGAAGCAGGCCATTCGGCCCTCAAGTCCACACCAACCCTCTAAGAACATCCGACCCAGACTCAGCCCCTTTCACCCTATCCTGGTAAACTTGCATTTTCCATGATTAATGATTTGATTTGATATGATTGATTTATTGTCACATGTACTGAAGTACAGTGAAAAGCTTTGTTTACGAGAGGTGCAGGCAGATCATAGGGTGAAAGAAAAACTAGACAGAGGCATATAGGTTGCATCGCACAGGGCATGTGCTAGACTGGATCAACATTAATGAGATCAACATTATTTGAAGTTAGAGATCCCATTCGTCAGTCTAATGACGGCAGGGAAGAAGCTGTTCTTGAACCTGCTGGTGCGTGTGTTCAAGCTTCTGTACCTTCTCCCTGACAGAAGAGGTTGTAGGAGAGCAATGCTGGGGTGCGATGGGTCTTTGATGATGTTGTCAGCCTTTTTGTGGCAACGGGCAGTGTAAATGGAGTCCATAGATGCAAGGTTGGCTTCTGTGATGGTCTGGGCTGTGCACACAACCTTCTGTAGTTTCTTTCGATCCTGGGCAGAGCAATTGCCATACCAGGCCATTATGCACCCGGACAGTATGCTTTCATTGGTGCATCTGTAAAAGTTGGTGAGGGTCCTTGTGGACATGCCAAATTTCCTGAGCTGCCTAAGGAAGAAGAGACGTTGTGCCTTTTTGACCATCGCATTTATGTGGGAAGCCCAGGACAAGTTCTTGGTTACTGACCCAACCTGCACATCCCTGGACACTATGGGTAATTTAGCATGGCCAATCCACCTAACCTGCACATCTTTGGACTGTGGAAAGAAACCGGAGCACCCGGAGGAAACCCATGCAGACACGGGGAGAATGTGCAAACTGCACGCAGTCGCTCAAGGGTGGAACTGAACCTGGATTCCTGGCGCCATGAGGCAACAGTGCTAATCATTGAGCCATCGTGCTGCCCTCAAATAGTCTGGAATCATGAATCTAATGATGACCATGTGTCGAATTTTGGGAAAAAAATCTGATTGCTGTGAATGAGGAGTCACATGTAAGGTAAGGACATTTCCTTATCTTACATGTGACTCCTCATTCACAGCAATGTGATTGACTACTAGTTCCACTTTCCAGCTCTTGGTCCATAGCCTTTAATGTTATGAAACTTTGAGTGCTCATTCAAGTAATATTTAAAGGTTGTGAGGTTTCCTGCCTCATCCACCTTCCCAGACAGTGTATTGCAGATTTCCCATCACCCTTGGAGTGAGAACATTTTTGTTGAAATCCCATCTAAACCTCCTGCCTCTCACCTTAAAATCATGCCCCCTTGTTGGTTACCCTTCAACTCAGGGGAACGGCTGCTTTCTATTCATCTGATCCATGCTCCTCATAATCTTATACATCTCTAATCAGGTCCCTCCTCAGCCTTCTCTGCTCTAAAGAACACAACCCGAACTTATCCAACCTCTCTCCATCTCTGAAATGGTCCATTCCAGGCAACATCCTGGTGAATCTCCTGTGCATCCCCTCCAGTGCAGTCACGTACTTCCAATGGTGCGGTGACCAGAACTGCACACAGTGCTCCAGCTTTGGCCTAACCAAGGTTTTATACATCTCCAACATAACCTCCCTGCTCTTATGATCTATGCCATTAACTTAAAACCTTCTTACTCACTGTCAACCACCTGGCCAATCTTTGTGTCATCTGAAAACTTACTTAGCACCCCCTCTCACATTTTTATTCTATATTGTTTATATAAATCACGAACAATAAGCGGCCCAGCCCTGATCTCTGTGATACACTCTGGACACTGGGCTCCAGTCACACAAACAGCCTTCTACCACCACCGTCTGTCTCCTGTCATTAAGCATTTCGGATCCAACATGCCAAGTTACTCTAGATCCCATGTGCTTTTACCTTCTTTACCAGTTTCCCATGTAGGACCTTGGCTGAAAACATCAATATAAATATCAATATCAACCTGCACTACCCTGGTCTACACACCTGGTCACTCTATTTGACTAGTAATCACCGACTCCCTCTCTGCCTGTACCTTTTTTTTAAGATGAGGTATGAATTCTAGATACACTCTAATCACCAGTTCAAAGGCTTGTGCATATCTAGTCTGCGGTTTAACTATCTCCCTATATGTGGTACCCACGTAGTCCTCGCCTTACTGCTGCTCCAGTTCTGAAAACCCCGAGCTGAATCTTGTGCAGCCAGAGACACTTCCTCCGGATGTGTTTGTCTGGGACACAGGATATGGTAATGACTTCTCACATTCCATAGGATGTACACTCCACTTGGCCTGACTGACATGTCATCCCTTAACTCTAAAAGCTATTTAGAACATAGAACATAGAACATAGAACATTACAGCGCAGTACAGGCCCTTCGGCCCTCGATGTTGCACCGACCTGTGAAACCAATCTGAAGCCCATCTAACCTAAACTATTCCATTATCATCCATATGTTTATCCAATGACCATTTAAATGCCCTTAAAGTGGGCGAGTCTACTATTTTTGCAGGCAGGGCATTCCACGCCCTTACTACTCTCTGAGTAAAGAACCTACCTCTGACATCTGTCCTATATCTATCACCCCTCAATTTAAAGCTATGTCCCCTCGTGCTAGCCATCACCATCCGAGGAAAAAGGCTCCCACT